GGAAAGTCGTACACCACAAGAAGCCGACACCACAGAAGATACCGAAGACTATGGCAAGGACCACAACAACAACCACAACAACTTTATCCACCACCCCGTCAACTACTATCACAACTGCTAATCAAATCGCAAACGATATTGAACAGGTCGGGAAACTTCTTAACTTTGGGTTTGAGTTCAATTTTTGAAAATAAGTTTTTGATAATTCTCAGCACGACCAGTGAAATTCTTCAATTTTTGAACAAAACCGCGTCGCTCCCCTCTTCCGCTCTCTTCTCCCATTCCTTCTGTCCTTCTGTAGATTTTCCTCGCAGAGCTTCCTACACGGAAGAAAACTTGCTACCGTGTTAGTCTTGGAGGTTCGAAGTTTGGAACTCTTCTAAACCTTTAGTGCAGTGATACTCACAAAACTCTACATACCAGTCTCAGCCCAAGTCGTGAATTAAATGCCAAAGCCTTCAAAACCCACTCCACCACGCTGGTAAAAAAAGGATCGCGGTCTCCAAGGAGAGCTGCTCTAATTCCTCTTTCAGATGATTTTCATTGACATCGAACGTCAAATTCTTCTTCAAAAAATATTCCAGATGTATAGGGGGGAGGAACCTTGATGGTAGATACTAGAATCTATGATGATTGTAATGGAAATAGACATGTGGGTGCTGTCGTTGGCTGCCCTGATCGGAAGATTGATGGCCTTCTTCTGCCACCAGAAAAACACAAAAAAGCAATTGATGTATACGGAAATTGGGTCCCTGGTTGTGTATTAATTTCGGCTGATACCATGGGCAAGAAAGGGATCCCTTTGAAAGAATGTTCACAGCTTTCGAAGAAAACCTCTCTAAATCGATTTTTCCAGGAATTCCCTCTTCCAACTGAAGACAATATCAAACTTGGGATGAGTTTTGATGAAACAAGAAGAAGACTGAATGAGGAGATGAGAGAGGAAGATGAACGGTTGCAGCAACTGTTGGCCGACGAGGAGGCTGAGATGAGCAAAGATGAAGAAGAAGAAGAGGACTCCGAGGAACGAGAGGAACAAATGCGAAAAGAGCGAGAAAGAAATCGCATGGAAAGGTTGGTCACTTGGTATTTACTTCAGAAAACTTCTAGAGAATAGGTCCTCTTACTGTCTCAAGCACCGCTATATTCACTTATGGATTTCACTTCAAATGTGAACAATGTGGCAACAGAAACAACAGCAACAATAACAGAATATCAACAACGGAGCAATAAGTAACCATTTTGACGGTTCAACCCCACCGACGATACCCTCAAGTCATTCTTTCTGAAGATCTTTCGATGTATAAAAGTCAGGGTAGGAAGTTCTATCACTAGTGCTCCCAGGCCTTCCGAAAAATCGAAATAAACCAAGTTCAGATGACAGTGATGATCAAAAAACTCACCGGCTAGACCCATCTCCATAACCTCATGATATCTGGTCTTGCTAACTTCTAACGGATGGAATGTAGCATTTGAGAAATGAACGATGCTCTCGACATCTACCATTCTTTAGACCTAAATTAGCGTTATACATATTTGTACTCAGTTATTGTTGAGGCTTTTTGCACTTGAAACCCGATCGAAGGCTTCTTTCAACTTTTTCTTGATAACAAACATTGATTAAATTGGACACATGGGAGGAATTGACTTTATGCCTATGATGTTTGTACACTCTTCACCAAGAGCTCCAAACGTTTCTCAGAAAGAAAAAATCATGTTTTACTTCGCTAATTGACCCTTTCCATTCTTAAGAAGTCTCTGAACCGACCAGTCAAAAGGTTAGGCACGTAGAGGACGACATGCACTCTCGTCGTCTAATTCTTCATCCATGGAAACCTCTTAATTTTTTCGAAAAAATCCAACAGTCTTCCGGAAAGTTCTTGCGGTAAAAAGATAAATATTTCACCTTTTATTAATTTAGACGAGAAAGAGCGCGCGCCGACGAGAGACGTAGGCAGACGGAAGAGGCGACCTTACGGAGTAACGGGAGGGCACAGAAACACAGAGAAACGTTGGAATCTGAAGAAGCGTATGACGACGACCATCCTGGATCCGGATCCCCCACCGTATCGACTACGTTGATTTCATCCATTTGCTCTTTATCACTGCTGCTATTGAGGTACTGATTTATTGATGGGTCATTATTCTTGGCTCGCGCTTCCTATTTTTTGCCAAATTCTGTATGTTTTGTATTCTGGCCCGCTAGATATTCCTTCATTTGACGTCGTCCACTAGCCGTTGTCATCTGAAGTCGATGTAGAGATGGTGTCCTACCTCTCAATTTGTTATCGCCGGTCATTCGATTAGACGGTGAAAGTTAAGCGATAGCCCGTCGATATCGTTCCGCATATACCGTTGCTGCTATTTTTACAAAAAAAAATACTTAACTAGAGACGGTAATATCAGACTGGTGCTGCGATCGCCGCCGCTTTTGTTTGTTGGAAATTAATTATTTATTATTACATTTACTATGACCATATTGATGAATGCTGTGCATAGTTGAAGAGTTGTTTGCTTGAATAATAAAACTTGTAAATATCGACGCATTCCGTGAAATAAGCAAGAATCTTATCCATCGTAATCCAGAGATAATCACACGAGAGCCAAAGGCAGTGAAGTTTTGCAATTTCCCCAGCCAGCAAAGGGTCAGCCTCCTCGACCAAGCAGAAATCAGTTCTGAGCAACCGAAAATCAGCCAGAAATTAACTACTAGAAACGCAAAATAGCATGTGCATGTCATTCAGTTCAGACTAGAGGTCACTTGTTGGAAGTGGTGCAGTGCCAAGTGGCGCCTTAACGCATAGTCACTGTCCGGGGATCGAATCCAGGATCAATATCCGCTCAATACAATCAAGTGTTCCATCCATCAAGGGTCAGCTCGTTTATGCCACACTCATTCAGGAGGATGAAAGCGCAGATTTGTATATCATATCGGTCGGCTACCGTACGTCACTGCCATAAGATTCATGTACCCATTCGGAAAGCACAATTATTCTGAATAGAAGTCGAATGCGGGGCGCATTCCTGAAACGAGTTTGATAAACGTCAAAAGACTTTACCCGTCACTGTGCACTCTAGGGTCTTCAACGTAGTGTCTGGGTTATGCCCTTCAGGTTAGGAAGATTCCGAATGACACAGGCTTCCTTCCTATTCAAACCCCACTCACCCATACAAGCTCTCAACTCTGCTAATTGCAACCAAGACTTTCCGATATACTTTCGAAAGATGCGCTCGATCTTCATGTCACGTCAAATAATCGTTTCTTTTCTCTCTGAATGTTCAGATGTTCGTTTTTTGAAGCTCTGAACAACGTAGTAAGTTCCGGACAATCAGCGGACATCTGACACACTAATGGGATCGTTTCTCCGGCAAATTACGATGTGACTCATGGCATCGTCGCCTCCGTGGTGGTTGCCGAAAAGAGTGGGCGCACGCACACACGCTATACTTCCCTTCACTAGTGTCCGTCATTAGTTGTAATGAGGGAATGGGAACGCTGTCGTCTGTTCACACTTCGAAAAAGACATCGAAAAAGCAGCNGATAGTAAAGAAGCCGAAACTAGGCACTCCAAAATGCTTGAAAAAAGACCTGACGTACCATTTATGCAAAGATAGGTCAGTAAGCAAATCGCCAAAATTTTGAAATTATTCAGACGTTCAATTTCATATAGGTAGGCCATGTAAGCCATGTCCAGCTGTTCACACTCGAACGAAAAACGTTATAGGGGCGCGGGTTCGAGCCCCGTCCAAGTTTCACTCCTAACTCGCCACATTTGCAAGTCTCTACAAATGAACCATCCGCAAGGAGAAGCTCCCATGATTGAAACATCTGCGTAGTTTCCACCTCCCAACCACTGAATTGCCGGATTAATATCATAATAATGATTTTGATAGATTTATATGATATAATAATATTTGCAGTTTGACTCTGTTGTGCTCCCGTAATCGGGGCTTCCTTTGTGAGCGAGGGGTCGCACCGCTCGAAACGAACTTAGCGAAAAAACCTGATTGTACCAATGACCCACCGATATCAAAAAGAAGCCCCGGAAACAACATATGGAGCATCAGCCGTAAACCGGAATACAGGCTACCATTACAAGTGTACATTATCCATATGCTATGTAGCTACTGAGAGAGTATCATTTTGCAAAAGTATTTTTAATAGGCCATATAGACAGCTGAAATCGCTAGAAGAAATGTAACAAACCTGAGGGAATTGCGAGACGCGACCTATTGGATTCCTAGCGGGTTCGGGGATCGAACTGCAAAGCTAGCCGACGCTGTTCAACATCGCATCTGTAAGGAGTACTGTCAGACTCGACAGAGGAGCACGAGATTTCCGATATTCCTGACGGCTTACTTTGTTACACAATCGTATTCACCCTGATCTGTAGTATGATTTTCCCTAAGTAAAAGCTGAACGAAGGATCCGATGAGAAAATTACTTGGGAATATGCAAAGATCGTGCTTCTACTTGAAGACAATGGCGAAATTAACCGGGTAGTTAACTACTGTGATGTACCACCGGACAACATGAGAAAAAGGTTCGTTCTCAGTGGTCTCCGAGTGGAATGCGGTTTAACGGCGTCGGAGCCAAGGAGAAAAAGAAAAATTGACCAGCGCAATTAACAGACTTCTTCATGGAAGATTTGAACAAAGAAAATGCATTTCCTCGAGGGAGAAGGTCCCACTGGGTTACTCTGGCTCGCGACACGGACGAATAGGGGCGTTTCTTGCCCCAACTCGAGAAAATCGAGATCAGTAGAACTAGAGGTGAACAGATACCGAAGATTTTTGCTAGTTTTATAGATCTTAGGAGCCCACTCAAAAGACTGAGAGCAACGGAACAGGGAGTAACCACTGCTTAAGGTAGCCCTTCATTATATATTGGTAAATCCTTGAATGTGTGGAGCTTGAGAAAACTTAACATTCAGAAATTGTTAGTTGCATTTTTCCTTATACTCTCAAACGAATCCTACTAGCAGTTTTGTCTTGACTCATTCCAAATTCAAAGAGCTCCAGCTGCCAGTTAAAAGGTTTTGGCGTTCCGAAAAGCGACCCCATCAGAAAAGAGACGACTATGCTCCATTTGTCCTCTATGCATACATAAATAACCGCTAACGCTGATGGGATGGTTTTGCGACGAATTTTTTCTGAAGGGGGGAGCTCAAGAAAATCGAATCCATGTACCAGCCCTCAAAATGGAATTCTCGCATGTGAGATCCTAGGTCTCACTACAGAAAGAGCCCAGATAGGATATTTGCATTTTACGAATGCATTTTACGAAAAAAAGGGTTCATTTGAAAGAAGAACATAGAAAATAGAAAAAATCAGAGAGGCATTTTTTGTGTAGGAAGGAATAAAACGATCAATATCCACGACGCCATGGCACAAGGCATCCTGACAATACATTATCGGAAAAATTGAACGATTCTGATCTTGATCTACGATTGCGATGCAAACACTCGGAGGAACTACAAAATGATTGAAACTCAGTGAGAAATGGGTTGATTCCATGTAATTGTTTCAACTGCAGGAATCTGAATTAGCCACAAACGTTAATGCTACATTAACTGATTGTGAGTTTATTTATCTACTTCCCAGTAAAAATGTATCGAGAGGCTGAGGCACTCGACGGTTCTAACAATAAGCGCTAGAGCGCAGAGAGGGAGGGGTGACAGATTTTGCAAGCAGTCTTAAGAATATTCCAGGGAATTATATAGCTCACTACTTAACACTTAATAGTGAAGTACCGGGGACAGACAACTCAGAGTTCAACTGTTGGTGCCATCCGAGCTTTCTTTCATCCACTCTGAATCTCCTTTCCTCCTGGAACTCGATTTAAAATCTATATCCCTCCGGCTAAGGATGACACTAAGCTTAAAAAGTGAACTAGTCCCCCTTCTCAGTATCTAGCGATTGGTGACAGAAATCAAAGGTGTACTTCCCCCCTCCCCCTCCCCCAACTACATTTTCACCTATTCATTATTCATTTACAGCTACAATGCAAAAATGAGCCACATGCAAAACTGAAAAACAAATTTGAAGAAATGCGAACTATAAAAAAGGATTGGGGGCGTCCCAGAAAAAAATCCGAGAGCCGACAATTTCTCGAAT